GGTTACAGCCTTGTTCGCTTTGTCTCTGATGGGTTCTGATCAGTGACACGCACAGAAAGGAAACTCTGGCCTCAGTCTTAGCAGGCAACTGCCTATGTTGTGAAAAATGCTCTGAATACTGAGGATAACTGAAGCAAAGGATGGTCTGAGATGGTAGGTCTGATTCTGAAATGGGGACATTTCATCAGTCTATACTGAGAAGACAGCCTGCGTCTTTACCTTATATTACAAAGTGTTTTGCATTTGTTGATCATGGTTGAAATCCAACACCGAGAGTCCTCCAGGCTACTGGTCATCTGAAAAAGAGCTAAGTAGTTGAGTGATTGCAAACTGGGGTATCTGCCAGTCACTATAAATGTTGTGCCCTGTGCCAGGGCTGAAGCAAATCAAAAGAGGAGGAGATTGTACAGTTAGTTACAGAAGTCATGGCTGTCATCTGGACCTCCCCAGGAATGCTGAAATATTCAGCACAGTAATTAAACATGCCATGAGCTAGTAAGCTGAGTTAAGAGAATTTACAAGAGACCATACAGAGGCAATCAGGGAAGCACTCAATGTGTGGTCAAATAATGCTGTACAAAAGTGTCTGAATATCTGCAGAACAGGTATTTTTTTATTCCCATTTAGTCTGGCAGGCTGCAAGTGCTATATGTGTGTTCCAGTTCATTGCATAAACTTTTACTGCTGAATAAGCTTATTTTGCAGGGGTTTTATGTAATGTATGTGGTTCAGGTTGTCTTTCCTGGAATGAAGTCTCTCTGAGTCTTCCTTCTTGTTCAGCTTCCCCATCTTCCTCCCTTAAGGTCTTTTAATGATATCTTTGTTGCTTTTCTGTGCAATCCTAGCATAGGAGCACGGTCAGACTGGAGCATGGTTAGTCTGTATATGTGGGTATACCCTTATTTTGCACAAAGAAACCTTGGTCCTGTTTAGCTTAGTTTCTTTGGCTCCAGACAAGGAAATCCATGCTGAGAATTATTCCAGAAGAGATATTCTTGAATAACACAGTGGTTAGCCATGCTCCTAGCTATGGCTTTGCAATTTCAAGATATGGGTATTTAACCTCTCTGCTCCTGCGTGATGTGTGCTGGATGCACAAAGCTGTTACAGCCTGATGGAGATGGGAGCTACAATTGGGCTCAAGTGAGACGAAGCAGTAAATGCTGTCCTTCAGACACAGAAGTCTCAATTCAGTGTTTACATACCTCTTTCCTCTAAAGTACACAGTGTCAGGGTGAGGTGGGGAGCAGCTGGTTTTGAGGAGATGAAGGCTCAAGTATTACCAGGTTTACCCCATCTTTAGAAGCTGATCCAAATCCATCAAGCTCAGTGGAAAACAGCCAATGATTTCAAGAGCCTCTGGATCAGGCCCTTAAACCCAGCCTCTGTGGTCTGGCACACCATCCTTTGTGCAGTTGACTAATCCTGGTCCCAGAGCAGCATGCTAGCAGGCTGCAGGGTCCACCCTCTGAAGTGGCAGAGGGCCTCTTTTCACCTTGTCTTGTGCATGCATAATAGCCTGAACGCAGCTGTGTCTGCAGACTTACATTTCCTGCAAAACTTTGTCTTCTTTGCAGCTGGATACCTGAACCACCTTGAGCTGTGGAGGGACTTGGAGAGCTTTAGAGGCTCTGAATCAGATGTCTGGCAATGGACGGTGCTGGAAACAAAACCAACTTTTGTTCGTTGGTCCTCGTATGGAGGAAGTGAGAGCATGGATGTTTAACCCCCTGGAAATGATTAGAGATGAGAAGCACAAAGGAGGCCTTGATGAACATTTTGCCCCTAAGCCATGTATTTCCTAGCTTTCAGCTCCTGCTGCTGACATGCAGAGCCAAGGCCTTGGTTTTTAATTTTTCATACTGTTTTTAAACAGATACTTTTGCAAATGTAAACATGCACCAGCATTGAAGGTTTCCAGACAAATTAAAGAGTCAGCACTGGAAAAATCAGCCTTCTGAGAAGGGTCAAATACTGATATTCATTGGGTCCATATGTGTAAACTTCAGCTAGTACGGGATAGACCCAGGGCAGCACTTACTTTGCAGAACTGAGCTAGTTTCAGAATGAAAATCTGGAACAGTCCTTAGGGATGCCTATGGTCTGAGCAGTAGATTTGAATGTGTCAAATGAAAAAAGACCCATGTCCTGACTCTTAGTTGCATTTCCATTTCACTTTATCCCTTCCCTCTTAACAGGAAGAAAGAAGGTTGAGAAAGAAAATATGCCATTTGGCATTAATTCTGACAACTCACATTTAGACATTCTTATCTGGGACCATGCTGGGTTTAATAATCTCCAACTACATGCCCATAAAAGCTTAATTTTGCTATGAGGATGCATGCCTTGCAGCCTTTAATTTAATAAATGGGAAGGGTTTCTTTATAAGTTGTACCACCTGCAGTAGTAATAGAAATCAAGACACTGCCTGTTATTTCTTGGGCTAGATTGACATTTCAGCCAATGTGCAAAGATTCAAGCTACATACTGCCTTTTTTTTTTTTTTAATTATTTTTACTTGTAGTTTGTCAGAGCTTGCCCTTAAAAAGAACTGATGAGTTCTGACTCCTGAAGAACTGACTCCTGAAATGAGGAGTTTTTGCTTAGAGCAGCAGATAAAGCAATATTCTTCCTGCCACTGTACTGTAATAGTGGGTTAGTTAGTAGGAAAGAGTTGGTAGGAGAGGAAGTAGAATGACAAAAGAAATTATGGCCTAAAAGCAGGATCCTTAAAAGGTATTATCACTATATAGCAATCCCCTATTCCCACCCCCACCAGCCAACAGAAATACCAGGAGGTCTGCAGCACATGTCAGCCAGCTAACCTGCCTGAAAGGTGTTATTGTTGCTGGTTCTGCTGCTTGGCTCAGAAATGTCTCTGCAGCTAAAGAGCTACAGGAAAAGAAGACAGAGCCCCATTAGTTAGGAGAATGCCAGAGGTGAAACTGCGGTGCCTCCCTGGTGCTGATATATCATTAAGGGTCCCAGAGGAGTGTAGGAGGTGGAGGTGCTTGAAGGTTAGATGGGATGAGTTATTCCTTAACTCGTGCCTTTTCATTGAGGAGCAGAGGAGGTACACGTTTTGTGTGGTTATACATTGTGACTGGAATGCTGAAAGAGCCGGAAGCCTCCAGCTCCTGGCGACTGAGTTTCTAGATTGCAGGGACGGAGGTCTTATTGTTGGAAAGGCCCTGGCAGTGTCCAGTTAAGCAGGGCATGGAACCAGGCCTGATGGTGTCCAGCTCCATGATGAGGGGCTTTCATATTATGAAATATGGTGGTGTTCAAGGCAAAGGCCAAAGCTCCAGGACAAGGTTCTGCTTTGGAAAAAGAGGTGGGTCAAGTGGAGTGTAGGGACGTTTATATGTGTTTTCTTAAGGTTTTAATAACTGAAGGGCTTGATTACATTTCATCTATCCCTGGAGGGAGAAGGAACTTGAAATCTCTCAGCAAATATCCCTACGTCAAAGGTTTTAAAGCATTGCACAACTGTCATCCTACAACGCATGCCAAGATGCCAAAGGCCTTAGTGAGATTCCTCATCAGCATTGTCATCTTACCCCTGTGGAAAGGGGAATTAATGCCTACAACAAAACATTCAAACCTGACTACCTTCAGTGAGACTTCTCAATTTATCTTTGGGGATATAAAATGACGATGGAGCGTGCTTTTTCAGAGCTCTTTTGAACTAGTCTGAACTACATCATTATTGTTATGAGTCATCAAGTCATTGGCCTGTGTATTGGTATCCTGTTGGCATGAGGCCAGAAGATACTACCTTTCATGTTGAGTCTCCTGGATCTTTAACATCCAGTACTTGAATGAGGCACAGGTCACAGAGGGATTACAGATACACTTATTTGGTCTCATTTGTGCCTTGATCCCTCAGATATTTGGTATTCTCCATGTATTTAACTGCCAGAGCAGTTGACAGTTGGAATAAATTCTCAAGAAAAGTCTTCACAGTGAAGCTGGATGACTTTCTGAAAATACATATGAATCTATCCCCACTTATTTCATGCAATAAAGGTACAAGATGAGAGGTTGAAATTCTGTGATCTATAATACAAAGGTCAAAGTTGGTAACTGTATTGAAAGGTGGGATTCTGTGAATGCCCCAGCATCATGCATGCGTGAGAGTACCTTAAAAATAGTAATTCAGCTTTTTATTTTTAAACAGGTGTATTTTTAATTTTATCAAGACTATCTGCCCTAGGTCTCTCAATTGATATTGTGTTCATAGATGTAGCCTCTAGAAGAGCTTTGTCTTAATGAGCATAGCATAGCTAAATCTATTGCTTTGCATTTAACCTGTGTGATTGCAGTTTGGACAATTGCCTAGATTGTGAAATCCAAGCTCATTGATAGAGCCAGTCTTAAGCTTGTGCAATCCCTCAGCCATAAAGATAGTGTGATGACATTCTGTTCCTCCCCCCTGCCTCTCCATCTAAATTAAGGAGGATTTAACCAGGTAAAGTGAAACCTAGAAGAGAACCTAAAACCTGAAGGAGAAGGTAAAACCTGTCATTGGAGCAGCCAGGTCTTGGATGCAGATTGCTTCTACTCTAACTTGGTTTTCAATCAATCAGTTGATGCCACGTTCTTTTTCCGGAGGGCATCCGTTTCCCTTTGCTTAGCACAGAAGGCAAGGCTATGGAGGTGTTACGGCAGGCAACCTAGTCTCTTTACACCACTTAACCCTGGCACTGAAGATGGTTCATCAGTTTTAACAGAAGTACAACCAAGCTGCTGTTATTTCCAAAACCAATGCTGACACTCCATCGTGGATGTGAAAATAACTGCTGAGACAGCCCTGCCTTTATGTGTGGGTTTTTGCACACTCTGCAGAGAATCAGAATAAATAGAAACCCCTTAAATAGATTATTAATTAGCCTTTCCCTGACAGATAGCACGGTAGGAAATCCATTAGTGGATGTCCGGGTGAACTCACTGCTTCTAGAGCGGCTTTACTGTTTTGTGCTTTCTCATTTTCATTGCAGATCTGAAGCCCTGGGTGTCGAATTTCACCTATCCAGGTGTGCATGACTTTTCTCAGCTTGCACTGGATGCCAACAGGAACCAGCTCATTGTGGGAGCAAGGTAAAGATTATATATTAATTAGCCCAGG